GCCTGCGAGCACCTCCACAAGAATGAAAGCGTGCTCAAGGCCAAGGCCGTGGTGGCCTTCCACAGGGGCAACTTCCGCGAGCTCTACAAAATCCTGGAGAGCCACCAATTCTCGCCGCACAACCACGCCAAGCTGCAGCAGCTGTGGCTCAAAGCGCACTACATCGAGGCGGAGAAACTGCGCGGCCGGCCCCTGGGCGCCGTGGGCAAGTACCGCGTGCGACGCAAGTTCCCGCTGCCGCGCTCCATCTGGGACGGCGAGGAGACCAGCTACTGCTTCAAGGAGAAGAGCCGCAGCGTGCTGCGCGAGTGGTACGCGCACAACCCCTACCCGTCGCCTCGGGAGAAGCGCGAGCTGGCAGAGGCCACCGGCCTCACCACCACGCAGGTCAGCAACTGGTTCAAAAACCGGCGACAGCGCGACCGGGCGGCCGAGGCCAAGGAAAGGTACGAGTAAGTAGAGCATCGGCGCCGGCTTCCCTGATCCCGAGGTTCGGGGGATGGTGTGCTCCTGGAGACCATTAAACTGGACCCGGGTCCAGGTTACGCCCGGGCGGCTCAAAACAGCACTTAGATCTTGCTGGAGACTGTGCGGCCAGGAATTTGTCTAAAGCGGGCAAAGTAGTGCATAAAGTCTCAACTAATTCCCCAGTCGCTTGTGGACTAGATTGGAAACAAAGTTTCAGAGAGCGTAGGACTGTGGGTCTGGCTCCCCTGAGAGGTAGACTTAGGCTTAGGGCCTGCTCTTCCTCGAACAACCAAAGGCATGGAGGATCAGAGATGGTTTCAGACGTCACCTCTAGGTCAAAGCGGGTTTGGGGGTTTGTTTTGTTTTTTGCGGGGTATGGGGGGCGGGATCAGAGCTGAGATTGGAACCTTCTTAGTACTATCCGGGCAATGAAGGCAATACCTGGGCAAGGATATTGACATAAGAGCTGAGGACAGGGGAGTTGGGAATTATCCCGTGTGGAAAGGACCGAGAGATGAAGGGCCCCGGGGAGGAAGTGCCAGTCGTGGGAGAGAAGACAAACTCGGAACTCTTTTCTGGCCTGCTGAATCCAGCAAGCCTTCCAGGACTTGCCAGACCCTTGACCTTTCTCTCCTCGGGTCCTACTCTCTTTGATGGGCAAGTCGGGTGTGTAAGATAAACTGAGATCTTCCCAAGCGCTGAGAGTTGTATTTCCTCTGGGAACCCAAGACTTGCCGAACTAACCTAAGCGTGGAGGCCCTTGTGACCGCCTGCAACCCGCTCGGAGCTCTAATCTCAACGAGGGAACTGGAGAGAAAGGGGCATGCGAACAGACTCTCCTTCGGGTAACTGCAAAACAAGACGCCTGGGTTAGGTGGTGTGAAGTGTGTTCAACACAGAGTTTTAATCATCCTAGTCTAGAGTGAGGGTGCTGGACAGCGGGGGAAGACGAGCAGGCTGCAGACTGGACCTGGGTATTTGGAACCTTGACGTGGGACTATCCGTGGCATTGGGGTCTCACTCGCTCAACTGCAAGCCCTGTAGATGCTCCCGCAAGAAATCAGAAAGAACAGCTGTTAGGAATCCACAAAGAGGTTTCACCCAAGATTTCAAATGCACACATCCCGGCAGGCACTGTCCACAAAAGCAGGACCGGAGGTGGGCTCTCAAGGCCCTCCATACTGGGTTCACTCTCAGGCTGGCACCGAGTGCAAGCTCTTGAACAGCTAGGGTTTCTGACTAGGCCCCAGGTGAGAGCTGCTTCTGGTTATGACAGAAAAAGCCAGGTCAGTGATAGCCACCCAGTCTTTCCTTCTAGCTTCCCTCAGGGGCTGCTTTCCACTCTGAGCTTCCAGTCCCCTGGCTAAATTTTTCAACAGGCGGCTAGAGGAAAGTCCTCCAACATCAAATCTGATCCTTATGCCCAGGCAAATAGAGCTCGCGGGGCCTGCTCAGTTTGGAATTGAGGAAAGTATTCTCAGGAGCTCTCACCCACCCACCCAAGCCTATGGGCAACCAGGAGTTTCCCTTGATCAGAGAAAGGCAAGGGGAAACGAGGCCTGTGCTTACCCAACTCCCAAGTAGGCCCCTCAGCCTGGAATCTCGGTATCTGGAGCTTCTGCCTGCCAACCTAGTTTGTCCAGATTAAGTAATTTGAAAATTCAGTCTCTACCTCATCCTCCCCCAACTCCAGACACCCTGCTTTGGTGTTTCTGCTTCAGGGAAGAAATGGGGTGGTTGACTAGGACAGAACATAGAGCAGGAAAAGTAGTGATGAGATTAAGAACATGGGCTGATTCCGGGAGGACAAGAGAAAGCCAGGGGTTGCAAACGCAGCAAAGAACCAAACGCGGGTGTCAATATGGTGGAAACGAAAACACCCTTTAGCAATCTCTGTGGCATTGAGTCCCGAGACGGGCCTCGGGCACTGGCGTCCTGAGGGGTGGCTCGGAGTGGCCTCGCTTTCCCACTGACCCCACTGCTTTGCTCCTGCGCCTGCAGGGAGAACAGCGAAAACTCCAACTCCAGCAGCCACAACCCGCTGGCTTCCTCGCTCAACGGCAGCGGCAAGTCGGTGCTAGGCAGTTCCGAAGATGAGAAGACGCCGTCGGGGACACCAGACCACTCGTCGTCCAGTCCCGCACTGCTGCTCAGCCCGCCGCCGCCCCCAGGGCTGCCCTCCCTGCACAGCCTAGGCCACCCTCCCGGCCCGAGCGCAGTACCTGTGCCAGTGCCAGTGCCGGGTGGAGGCGGCACAGACCCGCTGCAGCACCACCACAGCCTACAGGACTCCATACTCAACCCCATGTCTGCCAACCTTGTGGACCTGGGCTCCTAGAGCTCTGCTTTCCGAGCTTGGTGCGGGTACTTGAGGCGCAGAGGCAGGGCGATGGGTGCTGGAGTCCCTACAGGGTACTAGAAGACCGCCACGCCACGCAGGAGCAGCAGAAGTGGCAGGCGGGACAAAGTGGACAATTGTCTGCGGGAGGACCTTTGGGGGATTTCTTTTCAACAAGTTGCTTTTGAGATTCTTTGGAGGCCGGGACTCGGTCTTGAACCAGGCAAGGGAATAAATTATAAACCACCACCACCCCGATTTTTCTCATCTCTTCTCCCTTCTCTCCCCCTTTCTTTCCTCCACTTTGCTTTCGGGTTTCTTATTTCTCCCCTTTCCGTTTCTTTTGTCTTTCCTCTCTTGTTTTTCCTTTTTCCCCCTTTCCTTCTAAATTTCTGGAGTGATCGTGATCTCTCTCCCTCCCACCCTCTCTCCCTCTCACTTCCTCTCCCCCCCCTCCTGATTTCCTCACACCATACCCCTACTCTTTCTTCCTTCTGGTCATCTACTTGAGTCCCCTTCTTTCGCTAACTTTCTGGGAATCCATATGATGGAGGGTAGACATCTTGGGCCTTTGGTCCTCAAAGGCCTCCCCGGCCCTCCACCTCAGTGTGAGCCTAAGGTGCCAGCTTTTGGACTAATAAATGAACAAGAAAGGACCGTGCCCAGAAGAACAGTTCCACTCTCTCTCTCTCTCTCTCTCTCTCTCTCTCTCTCTCTCTCATCTCCTTCTCCTTCTCCTTCCTCTTCCTCCCTCCCCCTTTCTCTCCCTCCCTTCCTCCTTCCCTCACCCCTCCTTCCCCCCAGCTGGTTGTCCTTTTCCTCCTAGGACTGTGACCTCCATGCTCCCAGCCCACAGTGCCTCCCCAGCCACAGACTTGCCTTTTCCCTTTTATGCCCTCATGTGAATGTTCGTCTGGAGATATTTCTGCTTTTATTTTATAATAAAATTAGAAATCATAAATATATGGATATATGCCCCAAGGCTGGCGGCCTGGCGTGTAACAGAGTCTGATTTCCCTACAGTGACTGATACCCGGGGTGGGCAGTTCTGGGCAGTGATCCTGGGGCAGAGTCCTGGAAACCTGAACCGGCCTTCCTTCACAGTGTGCCTCTGGCAAGGTGAAGGGAGGGGACTGAAAACTCTGAAACCTCCTCGCATTAAGACCTTAGTCCCTAAAGAGATCATACCAAGATTCCCCCCCACCCCCACCCCCACACACCACACCACACCAAACCACAGCTGGGGTTGTTGAGGGAGTTGAGAGCCTGCGAGCAGAGGTAGTAGACGAGTTTGGAGTTGTGGGGTATGGGAGGAAAATCGGACTGGCAAGTTTTGAGTCGGAATTACTTCTCAGCATGGTCGATGTCACTAGAACCGGAGACGATAGTCTGGGCCGATTCACCCGACCACAAGCAGCGGCTGAGACCTGTGTTTCCAGAACACACCCTTGCCTAACTGTGGAGGAAACGTTTTTGAGTTCGGCAACCTGCACTGCCTGCGTACAGTGAAGGAGACGACGGAGAGCGGACCACCCGGGAGGGTCAGTGTTGAGGACACTACCAAGTGAGCGCAGTGGCTCCCAGGGGCAGGTCTAGGGGCTCCTGGGGGTGGTGCGCTGCCATTGCGGCTTTAGCTGTAAAGGAAACCTACAGTATTGTTTTCGGTCTGGAGTTCTAGCACCCTTTTATCCAACAAGTCCAGGCCGGTCCAGACAGATCCAAATCAGACAAGACTCGGTGAGGAGGAAGTTAAGGCTTTCCGTATGATTCGCAGCAGTAGCCGTGACTACAAGGGTAGTGCCTGCTCACCCTGGCTTGGAAGGGATGGAAGGAAAGAGGCATTTGCTGGGTTCTAGGACCTCTTGGAACTTTTCCTTTCTAACAAAACCAACACTTCCTGTTTCCACCATAAACTTATCAGAACTCTCTCATTTTTTTTTTTCTTAAATCAAGAGTTTCTTCGCCCATGACTCAGTTGAATGAACTAATGGGCATCACAGGTACACCGTTGTGCGGGCCTGGAGTTCAAGGGGAATACACAAACCTGGAGGCTGGATTCCTCTACCTGGGCCCACACCCAGGGCCCCTCCACTTCTGCTGCACCGAGAAAGGCCAGCCCCTCCCTGAGCGTCCTTGGCCTCTTTGGGAGTCCCTACTTTCAGGAAACTTCTCAAGTGCTCTCTGGAACTGGTTTGCTCTTGTGCAGACTGTGCAGCCCAACTTCCTCTGACTTGAGGCAAGCAGAGCTAGCAGCTACTGCCTGAAGATCTGTCTGGAGCGTTCCAAACGAAGCTAGCTGCCTGTGTCAGCCCACTTGGCCAGACTGCTTGGTGATGTCATAGCCCACACTTCTGCACAATTACTTCTCTGGATAAAGACAATCCAGTAGCCTCTGTGTTCCAAGTCGTCACTAGTCCCATGCTCACAGGGAAACAGACTGTAAATTATCACATGGAAAAGAAGACACACTTTTAACTTTGATTCTGGCCACAATTCTGGCCTCCTATATCCCATTCATTATGGATAGCACCAACGCCTATTGTGTTAGGGAAACAGTTTGCAGCAGCATCCATGTTGATTCTTACACTCAAATACAGAAGCTCTCCATACATTATCACACAAGCATTCTCCCTCCTGGATCTATGAGTGTGGGAGTGCACACGTGTGAACTCAAACACACAACACACAGGTACCTCAAACTTCATCTGCATCAGGCTTCTTTCCAAGAAACACTGAACTCCATAGCTGTCCTCTGCTGCCCCTGCCCACTAGCAGTCCCTGCAGAATGATCTGGTGACATCTGGGAAGGCCTCCATACCTAGCTACTTTGTCCCAGAGATAGAAATGACCCCAGCCTAGAGGTGATAGATGATCAAGGACCCATCAGGCACGCTCTCTAGCATCTGCCAGGGTGCCATCCCATCCCTGGTCTAAGCTCTTGAGTGTCAGTAGGGGGCAGGGGCCCAGTTCCAAGGCTGCATTCCATAAAGTGATGTCAGAGCCGTTCAATTATCTAGAGCTTCCTTCTTTCAGTCTCCCCCCCCCCACCAGCTAGCCTGGAAAATATACATTTAAACACTGTGTGTTTTGGGGGGGGCGGTTGTTACAGAAGTCCACTGCATGATTCAGTATAAGCCACTCCCAGCTGCAGCTTCCATCAGATCATGAGAACTGGACATAATATACAGATACTGACTGGTTTAAAAAACAAACAAAAATAACCAGTCTTTTCAGACTCCACAGGAAAAGATTCTTAGGGACCTTCCTCCATTCACCTCTTATAGCCACCCCCAACCCCAGCACCCAAAGAGTTTTTGCCCTGGCACCTGGGAATATCGAGTTTCCTGTGCTCTCCTGTGTCTGCTAAAGGGTGTCTTTCAATTTGTTCCTAAGTAGGTACCCACATATAAACCCACATGGCCCTGTAGTGAGAATACAAATGACGACAGCAGGATCCAGTCATAAGGGACAGCTGACAAGACCTGAAAAAAGAAACTTTGCTTTGGGATTTAAAAATCTGTGAGCCACAAAGGGTCCAGAGAGGCAAGCCCTGTCCACCCACACTGGTGACCTTCTTGGGTACTTGGGTCAGAATCTTGTGAGGGGCATCTTAAGGAAGTGGCATCCATCCCTGTCTGAGGAGCAGTTGATGGTTCCAGCTGGCACCCACAGCCACGGAAGAGTAACCAGAGCCAGGAAGATGTTCGGAGAAAACACTGGGCTTCTTGGAGAACTGCGGCCCCGCCAACCCCACCAGCAGCTTTTTGGCTCTCTGAGTGTGCAGAAGAAACTCTGGAAGACAGACACACCAAGGCTTTTGTGTTGAACGACCTGTGAGGAAGGACCAAATTGGAGTTGTCCCCATTCTGTCCCTTGGCCTTCTGAGCTGGGCTGACTAAGACCTCATGACTGTTCTGAAAGATGTGAGAAGGGCAACTGTGTGCAAGGGGATGGTGTGACTAGACATGCCTGCTGTAAGCTGAGAGAGTGATTGCATAGAGAAGAGTGCCAGTCAGAGAGCTGGAAAGTGCCCAGAGCTCAGGTGAGTCTGAAATGGGTGTGCCTCCACCAAAGAGCAATGTGCCTTGGCTGCACAGACCAACATCTCTTTTTCTCACAGCCTCCTCATCCAAACCCGTTGCAAGTTAGCCCTCACTGCTGGACCTTGTCCTCTTGGCCATCTCTCGGTGATGCAGAGGGAAGGAAGAATTCCTGTCCCAGAATTTAGGGGTGTGAGTTGCGAGCCAGGTACATCCTGGAACCAGGGCTAAGGCCGCTGTACGCGGCCCCTGGGGCGTCTCTTGTAGAAATTTCGCTGGTGTTTGTGAGTTTGGAGTTGGGAAATATGTTCTCCAGAGTAGAGGATGAAATTCTAGTGTAAAAGAGCAGATTGGGCGCCCTCCAATGGAGTCACAGCAAGACCGCGTCCCTGCCTGCTTAGGTGGTTGGTTGATGAGCAAAGGCCACCCGACACAAGGAAGAACATTTCGGGAGAAACCTTCTCTAGATGCTGCGAAGGCATGTTTTATTTTAAAATTAAAACCTTCGCCCTCGAACAGGCCAAGATGAGACCTGGAGCACCTAAGTTCCGAGGACTGCCTCGCAGGCAGAGACACTCTGACAAGTGGCCGGAACCTAGCCTTGGCCCACTACAGTCCCCAGTCGGCTTTCTAGGCACCACTTGCCTGCCCAAAATAAAGCGAATCGGGGTAGTCAGATACTATCGACATCTTCTGAGTCCGTGACCTCAGGGGAGGGAAGAGACCTTGACGTTTTGGACTGGCAGTAGAAAGCCATCGATGGCGGCCATCCCGGGAAGCCAGCTGGGCGGGGAGGACTTTACCTAGGCTTTCCCAAGTTACTAGGTTCCCACAGGCCAGTGCCTGGAATTCGGGTGCTTTCTCTGAACCCCCCGCGGGCATTCAGGCTACACCGCCCGCCCGAGGACCTGTAATGAGAGCGATGGTTAGTCCCGCATATGTGTGAGCAGCAGCGCGCGC